ATTATTATTATTATTATTATTATTATTATTATTATTATTATTATTATTATTATTATTATTATTATTATTATTATTACAAAAGCTTCCACCACATATATTCGCACATCGTCTTAAACACTTGAACGACGTGCTCAAACATTCCACTTCACAATTCCTTAATCAAAAATACTACTCATCATCAATCAACAGTTCAAAATTTCTCTTCACGAAATCATCGACAACGACAACGACGACGACGAAAGCAACACTAGTATCAAAATGGAGTCCATTTCTTCTTCCAATCTTGCTCACAGCATTCTCGTTATTCATGATTTTTCCTTATTTTGTACGAAATATGCGATACTTGAAAAAAGAATGGGATGTCATTGGACTGGAAAAAATGAGAAGGAGGAACGATTTTGCGAGAGTTCAGGACGCGGTGGTTGCTTGGATAATTGGAATGCTGGTGTTGTTGATAGTTTTGGGTTTTCTTTGGATTAGAGGATGGAGCATTTGGCAAAAGAAAAAGGTAAGAATAAGAGGAATTAGTAAATTATAGATAGTCAATGGTATTAGGTGTTCTAATAGCATTTGTCATCATTTTCTTTAGATCTCGGCAGTTATTAATAATCAACTAGCAGTATATAATCGACATGACAATACATACGGAATCAATTGGAAATTCATAACTGAATACAATGAGGTATGTATATATATATATATATATTACGAAATTGCTCCTCTTCCCGAATAGAAGCTTTCTTACTGAATTATTTTATGTTATTCAATTAAAGGATTTCGTCATAATTGAACAATTAGATTTTGCAACTGAAACAAAATCACAGCGAAAATTGAACACTATTTCAGAAATTTCTATAAAACCAACATCCCGTACAAATACAACACTAAACAACAGCATTCAAAATCAGAGTAGTAATAGTAGCAGTATTAATATTGATGGAAGTGGTATATGGAGTGGTGGATGTACCGATGAAAAACGCGTCACTTTGGTATATCAGAAATTTGCTTAGCCATTTCTTGTCTAAAAGAGAAGAGGCGGAAATAATGATAATTAAAATTAATAGCATATTATTAGTAGTGCATGTTTATTTTGAGTCTTAAATTTGCTCACCGTTTTATTATTTACAATGCGTAAGCTTTAAAAATGAATTGTTAGTTGATCAAATTTTAACGATTTCGTTGTTATACTGTGAACGAATATTTGGCAGAAAAGATTCATTCAAAATAAATCGTTTCAAGTCTCATATGAACTAAAATCACGCGCGTGCATACCATATTTTAGTGAAGTTTATTACATTTTTCCATCTTATCAATTTTTTGGAAAGTGCTATATCTACTCTTTAATTTTCAAACAGAAGGTTGGACAACTTTTGCAGATGTTACCGAGTGAGCAGAAACCAACAAAATATCAACAGGTGGCGTGTAAATAGCCCCAATATGTGAAAATGATTTGTTTTTTTACGCATCAATACACACTTGGAACCATGTACATGTAGAATATCAGGCAGAGAAAATATATTATCTATTCCCAACGTGTATAGTAAAAACAATAATGATCATGTAGAAGTACTAAGCAAAAATTTTTTAAATTTAAAGCGCAGAAACATTATTTATCATCGATGGAGTATCAGTAGAGTGGTGTTTTTGCATAAGTTCCTTTGATGACTTATCCATGCAGTTTATGACCATTTTCTGATAGTAACCTTCAATATGCAAGCTTTATAACCTTCTCATAGTCAATTTCGCTTGTAACTATTTAGCTTTTGTATATCGAAATAATCTGCCTTGTCTTTGTTGTTTTTCCATAAAAAATTGTGAAGTATGTTTATTATAGAAACTCACTGCGAACGAATGGTTCAACACCTGTCAGACGAATGGTCTATCAAACTCAAAAAAAATACCTCTAATCCTTCCAACATCACCAACGTGGTCAGATTCCGAAATGTTTTAGTCACGTAGTTTTTCGTGTATACACGTGAGCGTACTAGGGTTTTCACAAGAATTTGTACTTTGGAAATAGAGCATTGGGTCATGTCACGACGAAGACAAGGAACCTACGATTGGTCGATGAAATGGAATTGCAAGGTGAAAGCTGCACAAAAATATCAAGCCACACTCTGAGCCCGCCTTAGAATTGGAAATAGCAGATATTGCTTGTGGTGTAAACCACTCAACTGATGGCCGTGTATATGAATCAACTGAAAAATTTTGTATCATGAAAATTGCAGACGGCAATGAGCATATATATGCGGGGGGCTCAATTATTGGATCCAAATGAATATACATCAAAAACCATCCTAATTCCGTTCTTTGAAAATATTATAACAGCTCGCGGCAAGCATGCACTACTCAAGTGCGTTTTAGAAAACGGAGCAAAGAAAATAGCATCGAATAAGGCTCCAGCACGTCGGAAGATCTCAAACCTTTAGATTTGTCGCTATAAAGTCCATAGCCGTTGGCGATTTTCATACTTATTTGTGGAGTAAGCGGATAACACGGTCTTGTTCTCCCTCTGTCGTATATCCCTATGAATAATAATTGTATTTCTGGTTTCAGTCTAAAAAAGAATAATCGGACAAAAAAACAGACAAGATTGTGATCCGGATAGAATGACCATATACAGTCAGACCTCCCTAAATGCAACTCGACGGGAGACATAGATAACTTGCATTTAGAGGTATTGCATTTATAGAGGTCAAAATACATTATAAGCTGGGTCAAATTAAAGCATGCATTTAGAGAGGATCAAACTTAGTGATTGCATTTAAGGAGGTTGCATTTAGCGTTAGGGAGGTCTGACTGTATTTATATTAGAAAAGTAAAATATTTTTTGTTATTTGAAACGTGATTCTATTTTTATTTCTATTTCTTATTTAATTTACTCAACTTCATAAAAAATAAATTTTTGGTAAGCAATGATATTTTTATTTATGTTATATCATATAATCTTAATTATTGGTATTGTTGTGGTTGATGATAAAATAAAAATATTAATATTCGGCTTCAATTATTGCTGCCATGCCCATACCAGTTCCAATACACATGGATGTAAGACCAACCCGTTGTTTCTATGTAAAGTAATAAGCGAAAAAAGTTTAGTAATTTCTCAGTAAACCAAAAAAGTTAAATAATTTAATGGCTACCTTTTGTTTCAGAATATTTAGAATTGTCGCGATTTGTCTGGCTCCAGTTGCACCGAGTGGATGACCGATTGCTATTGCACCCCCATTTATATTAACTTTTTTTGAATCTATTCCTAATTTCTCAATACTATATACAGCCTGTGAGGCAAAAGCTTCGTTGATCTCAAAGACATCAATATCATCAAGGCTAAGCCCAGTTAATTCAAGAACACGCGGGATAGCATATGCAGGTCCAATACCCATAATATTTGGTGGGACACCCACAACTGCTGCACGCACAAATTTACCAATGATCGGGAATTTGTGTTTTTCAGCAGTTTTACGTTTCATCATTAAAACAGCAGCGGCTCCATCAGTAACCTGAGAAGAGCTTCCTGCCGTGGTGGTACCATTTTCAGCAAATGCCGGTTTTAACTTTGCAAGAACTTCAACAGTCGTGCCTTTTCGAATACCATCATCTTTATCTACAATTATTTCCTTTTCTTCACCGCTCTTTGGATCAGTCCAACGCGTTTTCACGGGAACAATTTCTTCTTTGAAAAGCCCGGCTTCTTGAGCTGCTGCTGCGCGTCGATGAGATTCGGCAGAGAAAGCATCTTGTTTCTCACGAGTTATACCGAATTGGTTCGCTACATTTTCGGATGTGGTGCCCATGGGAAGCAAGCAATCGGCTGATTCAGGATTTGCGAATATTATTTCCGAGGTTTCGGCTGGCATGGCACTAGCGCCATAACCAAAAGTCATACTTTCTACACCAGCACCTATTAGGACAAAGATTTAGTGATTATGAGTATGATATGATTGAGTAAAGGATTAATATTAAATAATATAACCTCCTTATTAAATAATATTAAAACTGGGTTTCTCTTGATGATAAAAACCATTTGTATTGTTGTCTCTATATTTTAAGGTCAGATCATGGTTGATTCTCGCGGGAGGAGGTTCATTTTAACCAGATTACTACTAACCTATCCCAATTTCAATCTGATCTAATGCAATTTCATGGGCTATCTGCACTACAGCCTGTAAACCTGACGAACATTGTCTATTGACAGTATTTAGAGCCGAAGTATTTGGAATACCAACGTATAATGCAGCAGCACGTGCAACTGTGGCACCACCACCAGCCGGCAATACATTACCCACCGCGACATCTTCAATGAGTTTCGGGTCAATTTTCGAACGTTCCAGCAAGCCTTTAAACGCGGCAGCTAAAATCTCCTCAGGAAGCGTATCTTTGAATCCACCCTTTTTGGCTCTGGTAAGTGGTGTTCGTACCGCCGCAACGATAACTACGTCTTCGGGCGACTTGACACCCACTTTAGCGACGAATTGATTATTTGAAGAGATAAGGTGACTGGTAATTTGTTGAATACGATGCATTTTGCTTTTTTTCAAATAGAAAGTGATATGTATTTATTTATTTGCAAGATTGCAGCAAAACTAAGTTCAATCAAGAACAAAAAAAGAGATGACGATTTTCGATTTATTAGATTTCATGTGAAACATCAGATTGCATTTTCATGTAGTCATCATATATATTTATGTAATGGCATAAGGGTAAATATTTTATTAAGCAGTAAATCAGTAAATACCATAATGCTCGGCAAATAGCACCCCCTCCTTTTTTTACTAATTTTTTTCCCAATGTAAGATCCCGGGTACTATTTGCCGAATAAATGTTGTACATGATTTCTATCTATGCATAATCTAAAATCTTATCAATTCCATTCATCGTCATCATCCTCGTCTTTTTCATCTTCAATCGGAGATTTTGGGCGACGACTTTTTAGCTATCGTAATTTGGAGAATTACACAAAAGTTAGATCGGAAATGTAAGTATAAAAATATAAAAAATATCTTACCACTTCGGCAAGATTGACTGCGGCCGCATTACGCGACAAAGAATTTCTTTTCTGTAATGGTGTAGATTTCGATGATTCATCAGTAGTATTGATTGATGATGATGATACCTTTGGTACAGTTGCAAGTTTTGGTGCTACAACGGGAGGTTTTCGCGTAGCATTTGAGGTTTTGTTTTTTACGGGAGGTGGTATTTTACGGCCTGATGTTATTGTAGTAGTGGTAGTGGTATTGCTGCTTTCTTCCGAAGATTGCTTTGCAGCTTTTCTTGCTTCTAGTTCTAATTTCCACGCGGGTACACCACCACTACCACCGGAGCTTTGGGTTACTCCTGGCATTACTGAAATTCCTTTTTGCTCCTTAAGAGATTTTGGTTCTTCAGGAGTATTATTGTTATCGTCATCCTCGTCGTCATCAGCGATTTCTGCTGACGCGGTACGTGTATCTTCTGCCACGACAGATGGAGTGATTGGCGGAAGTGGGCGTCGTGATGGTAAGGCGGGTGGAGGAAGCGATGGAGTCGGATCAATGACTTCTTCTAAATAATTACTGGGTACCCATCCTTGTTTACCATCTTTTTTCGCTAGCCACCATCCATTATCATCATTATCATCTTTTTGAATTATCTGAAGAATATCATCTTTAACAAATGACAGTTCGCCAGAATCGGAGCTATTAAAGTCATATTTGGCTTTAAAAGTGGGATGAGTAGGTTTTGGAGGGGGTGGCGGGGTTTTCGGAGGTGGGGGTGGAGGTGGCGGAAGTCTTCCAGGTGAAGATTGTCCTTGAGAGCTGATACTAACAGTACTTCGAATCGATGGACTACGAGCCGGCTTACCTGATTCGACAATAGATGGAGATCTATTGACGGTAAGAGTTTTTGTTTTTGCAGGATTACCTGCTGTAGGTTTTGTCACGTTAGGTTTTATTGTTGAGGTTGTCGATATTGATGTTGTTGATATAGATGATGTTACTGCTGATGAAGTTGTTTTTGTTGGTACTGGTTTTCTTCCAACCTTGTTTGATTTTGATGGAGTTGAAGATGGACCACCGGCTTTTAATAATTTTCCTGATGTAATAGGTCGTGGGGGAGGATCTTTACGTGGACACGGAGGATCAGATACACTATTTGGTGGCTCACCGGTTGACACCGAGACTGTATGACTCTTATAAACATCATCCTTTTTAATCGTTTCATCTTTGACGAATTTTATTTGCGCCGTCTTATTTATTTTTTTCGTAAAATCGATTTGATTTTCTATCTTAACCGTGATTCTCGCTTGCGCGGTACGTTGTAAAAGATGCACCACAAATTCCGTCTTGAAATAACACGAGAATATCGGGTCACCGAGTTCTTTTGTGGGATTGTTGAGGTTTAGTATTACCCAATCGTCGCGTAGATTAGAGAGACCGACACCTGTTATGGTGTTCAACGGTATCGTTCTTTCGACATTCATTGTGAGTAGTTTTTTGTCCAGAGTCGAGATTACTATATATATGTTTTTTTCAGTCTTTTGTTGTTAATTAATTAAATTCAATTAGTCGACTATTAAATAAAGTTCAGAGATGACATATGAAGGATATCATTGTAAACGTTACCAACCAATACGAGTTGTCGAGGACTCGGTTTACTGGAACGACCAAGACGTGACACTAAAAGTTGAATTTTGCTGCTGAAAGCAACAACTTCATTGGCTTTTGAAATTTGAATTTGCGATATTAAATTAGCAAAAGTATCATCATTAAATAACAAGTCAAAAAAACAAAGTAAAATATAACACAAACCTCCAATATTACAAACATTTCTTAACGCTTCTCCGCTTAGACTTGCAACCCCCAAATAATCTCCCATAAACTTACGCATACTAAGCAAACTAAACCGACGTCGCTCCTTACGTCCAGCCAAAACCTGATGTCCATAATCACGTAATTGGACAAAGATAATCTGATCCTTGTTCTTTTTCCAACATCGCTGGATACGTCTGGCACACTCATGCTTGTAGCGAACGTAGTTTCGATATGCACGTTGAATTCGCATCGCCATGTTGTGCCAGTAACGATCACGAAGATGTTCCAAAGCCCAAATCTAAATAAATTTCGAAAGAGCCTATATATAGATTGCTTGCCTAATATTTTTATAATAGGATGCGTAAAGATCCCAAAAATGTGAAAAACTGAAAGTTACCGTTTCAGGATGTCTTATAAAAGCTTTAGTTACGCCCATTTGCCATTCTTTAGAGTCTATGCCACAGTCTTTGAGAATTCTTTCGGTGCCTGATTTTGAATCGCCTTGCCATATATATTCACCAGCGTAAGATGTCTTTCGAGATAATAGATAAAATCTGTCGATTATTTACGAGTTTTTGCAAATATTGAAATTATTTTACAAGTTCATCGAAAGTATCATCAAGAGAATTGAAACATTAATTAATATAACTTTCGTTTTACCTATCTAAAAACTTTTCAAATGTCTGGCGATAAGCAAAACCTGCACGTCGAACTCTGATATTCTCATGGAGACCTAAATATTTTACTTGATGAAGTACAATTTTCTCGTCATATTCAGATGGACTTTTATTTTGATTAGGTTTTATGGTTCTGATGTACGACGGTTGGGATTGCATCAAGTTATTTACGAGGGCATTGGCCGAAAGCTGAAATAAATTATAAGTTAATATCATTTGTATTTATATATGAGAATGTTTAAAGAATCAATAAATGCCTTTATTTTATCACCAGCAGTAGGTGGACGTTTCTTCGAGTCACGATCAACTTGATGAGGGAATAATTGCTGCAGAAAATTATTGTTACTTGACGCAACCAATTCTAACAAATCTTTAACGAGCTGATCTTTATTTTTATCTGTCATCCCAGGTATATTATACAATACTTCACCGGCATAATGTTTCACGAGAAATTTACTACCGCGTGACTCAAAATGAGGATTTGACGACAATAAACCTAGACGCTGAACAAATGAGTTATCAGCGGCATCGGAATCGGCATGTGCAGTAGCGCAAGCATCATTCAACGCGGCAAAAAGCCCTGGAGGCCGTTTTTCTTCAATCAGATCACAGACAATCTTGTTGTTAAAGAATTCAATCGGTGTCCATTTAATCTTTTCACGAACATATTCTTCTTGCTCCGCTTTTAAGGTTAACTCGATAAAGATTTGTTGTAATTTTTCGTTGACATAGTTGATGCATAATTGTTCAAAACTGTTTTCTTCGAAGATTTCGAATCCGTAAATATCGAGGACACCAATAACATATGAGGACTGATGTCGTTCTCGCATCGCGGAATTTATCCGTTCCACAATCCATTCAAAAAGATTGTTATATATAGCTTTGGCAAGGGCATCTCGTATAGCCGACGCCTACATCAATAGATGACATTAAGACGTTATTGATCGCGTCTCATTAATTTCATAAATAACACGCTAAGAGATATTAAAAAATTGATACCTGAACTGGATTCAGCAGTACATCAATTACTGAACCTCGACGACCACCACGCTGTGTCTCAATAACACGACTTGTCAAAACCTATATATTATCATATTACATGGTAAATAAAATAAAAATTATTTTACATTTTTCGATATTAAAAAATTTCTTACCTTCATCAAACCTTCATGCTCAACTTCCATTATTACGGAGATTAAATTTGTGACTAGATAAAAATAAATGGTTACCATTATAATAAATCGCAGTAATCGTACACAGTATTTAGAATAATCACAACTCATCATAAAATAATATTCATAAAACTGCACACACCATTCTCGTCACTAATATACGCATTCCCACTATCATCCTCCTCGAATTGCACATTACCCAACCACAAAATAATAGCAAGCATTCGAAATATATCATATTGTTCTTCTTTTGTTATACCAATCACATTCATCGCATTCTAAAATAAATTAAATGATTTTAAATGATTTTTTAAAAATAAAAATCATTTATATTAAATAAAATTTTTAGAAAATATACAAGAGTTTCCGAAAAGTCTTCTAGGTCATCGATGCCATCAACATCTAAACATCCGCTGCTGTTCGTGTATAAATAGCTTTCAGGTCCTTGTATGTAGAACTCTGTCACCGTAAATGGAATAAGACATCAGATAACCAAAGTGATTTTTAGACTATTAAATGATTATAATAAAATATCGAAATACGAGGTTAAATTATCATTTTTGTTACCTTCATATTCTGCGGGAATCGCTTTTGTCAATTGATAAAATATATGAAAATTTCGCTCGTTTTCAATTTGGCTAACAACACGGCCCTTTTTATAAGAAAAGATAAACTGTTGTAAGTAACTATATAAGATAAACTAATTTATTTATCATTAATATATATTTAAAAACCTTTTCCAATAAATAATTTGTAATCATGGCACCGACCGGCTCTGCTTGGTGACTGAATTTAATTTCCAAATATTTACCCTATAAGGAAATACATTTTTTAATAATTTATCGAAGGATAATTTATTCGTTTCAGACGCAATGTAAAAAAATATTACAGAGCAAATCTTTGCAAAAAATCAGACATACATGACGACTAGAATTGTTATTCCGAAGTGTCTTTGCACAGCCGAAACTTTCTAATAGAGGATTCGTGGCGAGTACCATATCTTTAATTTCCTGAATTGATGATGTGCCACTCCCGCCACTGACAGTTGCAATATATTGCATGATCTATTTTTATTAAATAAAATCCGACTTTTAAACAATTATGAACAAAATTATAAATAAAAGACGATAAATGTAATTAATACATACTCTTTTTGCAGCCTCTGTTAAGTGATTATCAAACGATATGACAGGATAATATTAAACAAACGAAGCAAAGTTAAAAAAAATTAAACATAAACCTATGTTAAATTAATACCAGTCTTCCCCGCTCCCGATTCGCCACTATCAAAAAAATATATTTATAGCAAGAAAAATCAGAACATTACAAAAAAATACATTTTACTAATAACGTAAATTTTCCCACCTAATAATAATACATTGATTTTCTTTATAGCCATTCATATTATAATATGCTGATTCTGCTACTGCATACACGTGCGGAGGCATCTATCAAATCCAACAGATCATTATCAAATTTCTTATAGCGAGAAAAAAATTTCGAGAAATATGGTCAAAAACTTTTTTACCTCTAGCCTATTTTTCCCTGTATAACTATGCAACACTTCGTCTGTATAAATTCCAAGATCTTTGAATGGATTGACACTGATCAAAACGTGTCCAATATAGGTCTTTCAATTTTTTTAAAAAATAATGATAGAGAATGCAACAATTTTGTCAAGATTAAATTTGAAATAATTAGAAAATCTAAAATTTAATCATAACATGTCTTAAAAAAAGAACAATGATGGTAAACCTAACCAGCAAACACCAATATAAAATTCGAAAGTTTTGAATCCTAATAGAAATAATAAATTGCAATTACTTTAATTACTTACATATATCTCTCCATTTTCAAATCGTTTTTTCAAATTTTCATTTATTGCCTCATTGTTGACTTTGCTAAGCATAGTCATATCGGACACGCCAACTTGTTTCTTTTTGAAGCCCTCTTTCCAATCTGCCTTTTGAATCGATTTATTATTGTTTTGTTTTTTTGACGGTGCCTATAAATTTACATAGTGACGATAAAAAAACTATCAACGATCTAATCTGAATCTTAAAATGTCAAAAATTCAAATTTCATGAAATTACCATTTTGAAGAACCTTTAGTAAAATGAAAAATAATGTTTTCTCTTTTTATAAAGTAAACAATCAAAAGAAAAAACGCGGTGCCTAGCAAAAAAAGTTGCCGAGATACTAAAAATACGCTCTTGGCAAAATACAATACTCGAAATAAATTTGGTCATTTTTGAATGTCCGTGGTGTTACAAGCTATCGACCAATTAATCTGAGTTGATCTGAGTTGGTTTTTTTAAGACGGTAACGTGATTAATATTTATCAATAATTTTTTTCCAATTATTATACTCTTATGCGCGTTTTTGTAAAAGGTCTGCAGCAGCATAAACGCCTTTACAACACAGCTACTCTTACCTCGAGAAGATATGGGCAGCCCACCTCCATGACACATCCTCATTTACTGAAACGCGGCGAATGTTAGTATTTGTTCCTTAATCGTGCGTGTGTGTGTGTGTGTGTGTGTGGGGTCTATTTTTTTGTGATTAATAAATAAGGCGACGTATGTTGCTTTAATGTCGTTAAAGAATCTTATCTTCGCAGTGACTCCTGGAATTTCCGCAATAGAATATGAACTTCGACGAACGCGTCTAATGAGAAGCTTGCCGTACAATAGCGTTGCCGTGTCACTGGGATACAGGACACGATACATGTCAAATAAAGTATTGTTCGTATATTTGTTTGGCGTCATTGGAAAGCATGTTGAATTTTTTTTGAGATTCGCGCTAATTATTGTGGCAATTGATTGACTCGTCGGAGCAGATCAGATCAGATAAACTATTTATTTGAAAGTGGATAAATAATTTGTTTTGTCACTGTTCAATTCAATATACTTCCAATGAATATTATTTCTGTGTGTTTCTATTGTTCTTAGAATTTCGACTCATTCACTATATTGATGATTATATAGCTATCTCTTCCATCAAAATACAGATTTCTTTTATTTATCTGGTAAGAGCAAAATATTAAGATTACACTTGAAATTTGAAAATTGTCGATAAAATATTAATGATGTTATTAATTAAAAGGTTTCAATGAGCCTGATGCTGCTATGATATTAGGTAAAAATAATATTTCTCTACAAATATAATTGCTTGTTCAATAAATAAATCTGGAAAACACATTTATTATATCCAGAAAAGAATGATAGTCCTCGTGGCTATAAAATGACGATGTTTGTGCTGCCAAAAAATCCAGATGATGAGATGTGGGACGGCACTCGAACAGGAGTACAAGGTGCTATTGATATTTTCGGAGCAGACGAGGTAAAAAAACGACTTTTACTTGGCATATACATCTATTGAAATTATTGAAATAAAAATTATTATATTGATATTTATTTAGGCGATAGAATCGACTAAATTCATATCAAAGCTCCGAGAAATTTTACAACCATACAAAAAAGTATATATAGATTTACCTCCAAAGACCAGCATTCTTTCACCTGATGCCGTTCAAAAGATTTTCCGAACTCATGGTATTCCGATTTTCCCCTCATTTTTCGCGTCTCGGTTGAAAACTTTGCGCGAACAATTCTACCCTTTAATATCCCACTATGGCATGTCATGTTTCATTGGAAAATTCCCATTCCTACATAAAGTTAAAGAATTTAAACCGTTGAGTCGGATAATACAACAATTGAGAATTATAAAAAGTGAAGCTGAGTTAAGATTGATGCGAGAGGCTGGCGAGATTACCGGGAAAGCGTTCATTGAGGTATTGTTGCTATTTGCGAAAAACTTAATATTATATACTTACAATTGTATGTATGGTATTATTTTTTAATAGACAATGAAATTCACAAAACCGGAAATGACTGAGCATCATTTACATGCAAAATTAGATTACGAATGTCGAATGCGTGGTGCGGAATTTTTGGGATATGTGCCCGTTATCGCAAGTGGAGTGAATGCATTGACACTGCACTATGTGAACAATGATATGCCATTACGGTTTGTAAATATATATTTTTATTTTTCCTTTCTTTTTTTTGTTTGAGATAATTGATGATTAAGATTAAAATCATTAACACAGATATGGAGATTTAGTATTAGTTGATGCAGGATGTGTAAGTAAAACAATGTATTGTTATGATATTTTTCATAAAAAAAAATTTATTTTTTATTTTGAACATATAGGAATATCATGGCTATGTAAGTGATGTCACACGGACCTGGCCTATAAATGGTAAATTCAGTTTGCCACAACGCGAATTATATGAAGCCGTGTTGAAAGTGAATAAAAGCTGTATCAAGGTATCAATTCAGTATATCTGAGAACATAGATATTGATTCAAAAAATTACACAAATTAATTTTTATTCATATTTATGGTAGCTTTGTACTGAACAACAAAATATCTCTCTGAATGGTATTCATGATGTTTCCGTGAGACTTATGAAAGAAGAGTTAACAAATCTTGGCTTCAACATTAACGAAGGGGTTTGTACTTTACCAAGAGAATCAATCATAAATTATATGGCAGTAAAAATTAATGATTTCTCAATAGGAAGTAGACCGAGTGCTATATCCTCATCATGTAGGCCATTATCTTGGTCTAGATGTGCATGACACTCACGAATTGGATCGCTCACGACGACTTAAAGCTGGAATGGTCGTAACAATTGGTAAATCCCTGGTTATACGTATGAAAATTCTTTGCTGCCTTGTTATATTACTAATATGATTAAACATCGACATGATTAATATATTATTGACTTAGAGCCAGGGTTGTATATTCCCAACCTTACTTCATATCCGAAACAATATCATGGAATAGGAATTCGTATCGAGGATAATGTGTTAATTGGCGAAAAAGATCCTGTTGTTTTAAGTGTCACTGCTCCAAAAGAGATAGTCGATATTGAATATTGTATGAGTAGTTGATTGATTTAGAGCTACTGCTTTTTTAGTTTTTGATATTTGTTATATTTAAAATCAAATTCTATGATTAATTGATATGACTTAAGACTGGTGATTGCTATTATAAAATATATATACATATAATTCCGCTACGGATGGATAAATACAATAAATTTATTGCACGATCACCTTTTTATCCAATTCAGAATTCATCAAAACGCAATATTTATGATACCATACTAAGCCCAAAAAAATAGTACATCAATAATATAACTTTGAATAAATGGTTTGTTGTGCCAAGTGCACCTAAAGTATATAGTACAGTTTCCCATACTAGCATAAAAATAATCAAATACTGTCATTTTTCATAATCGTACTGCGCCATTAATGGTATGATCCAAACTTGATCAAGAAATGCTTCGCGGATTATTCTTAATCTTTTTTCTTTTTTCATTAGATTAAGTTTGCTCCATGTTCACGATTGAAATCATGTGAACGGAAAATAAAGTTTGCCCACATCGGACCTTTCGGCATGTTTTTTTTTCAATTGAAAGATAATAAGTATATGTCTGTTTTAATACCAAAATTATGGGTTTTATAATGATTTCGCTTTATTAACTTTAAAGTATTTTGTATTCGACAATGAAAGACATCACTGTTCCCCATACGTATAATATTGTAAGATTGCGCAGTGAATTCTGCATTACTAAAAATAGAAAATTCCGAACGAACAATGAAAATGTTGGAAATTTACCTCAGGTTAATCAGACTATAGTTCATATTTTTTGCGTAAAACTTTTCGTGATGCATAACTTTTGACGACCACTAATTATTCCGAAGCTAGAAATTATTACTTGTATGCAATTACATTCACAAACGATCTTTATTTTTTATTAAAATTCAAAAAGCCTCTCTGAACATAAACTTTATAAGGTCAGAACACTAATAGTCGGATCCAAAAGCCGTCCCAAAAGGCAATGACTACTTCTATACTTTGGCCTCGATATCTAAAGAAACTTCTTTTTTCATAACAACATCGTTCTTCCGGGGCAGTAGCATACCAAACAGCTCAGTAATAACTGCTGTAGATTCATTTTTAGTGTTGTTAGTCAAAATTATATTGACATTTAGGCATCTAGACAAATTGATTTTGACTTTGTTTTTTTAAAAAAAAATTCCTATTAAAAAATAAATAAATTTTGACTTGGACACTGGCAAAAATAATTTCAACTAACAACATTAGATTCATCAGTACATACCAGGAATTCGCGAATGAAAAAGCTAGGAAGAGTTTAGACGTCTTTTATTTAAAAGTATCTTATCTCGAAAGACAACAAAATAAATGAGACTACCGTATTTTGCCGCACCTCTTTGGAGAACCTTAACTTAAACTCAAAGATATTAATTTAGTACAAAAAACTGCACCGTGAATCTTGTTTATTCAACAGGGGTGTTTTATGTGCAAAATACGGTGATATTCGTTTAATATTTGCATTTATGAGCTTCACTAGTTTAAATTCAAATAACATGATTGACAAAAGTGGTTTTAAAATGTGCTTTTTGTTAACACTAATTTTTTTATGCTACCATATATTGCTGCTATTTTTCCTTACGATTACTGCTTGTCATTTTTACGGAGTATACTGTATCGGTATACATTAAAAAAAATATCCGATTAGAAATATGCCTCTCTTTATAAGAGAATTTCGGAAACACATGAACTTTGTATAGAGGATCAACTGTATAACCAATTATTATCGTTATGCAATTTATTTTCGTTGCCTTATTAATAAACACTACCGCTACAGGCTACGTGAATGTTTTGAGCCAAATTACCAGAATTGTACTCGTGACACTGGTTTACTGTCCGAAAAATTGCATTGTACTATAGAAATTTAGTTCGGAATGTCAAAATCGAGAAATAACGTTGAAACTTTATTTTTGGGTACTAAAAACCATGGATAATATTATCGAAGCAATTTTGCATATAAAAAGAAATTTTTATTCTCCGAGAAAATTATCACAAAATTCACTATGGAATTTTTAACGGAATCAATTGAAATCACGAAATCAAATTGGATAAACACCATATGCGTTTTGCTTGCTCTTTACACTTCGCGATTCTACTATCGATACTTTACTCGACCGGATAAATGCCCCGGCCCTATTCCACTACCATTTGTGGGCAATCTTTTTCAACTACTGAAAATCGAAAAGATTCATCGCGGATTGCATCGAAGGTATGGAGATGTCTTTGAAATGTATATGGGCGGAGAGAGATACATATTCTTTAACTGTGGTGGAGACAATTTGTTTGATAAAATTGCGAGCAGCTCGACGAAAACTAATTATTTCAATCGGGTAAACATTAGCATCCATGTACACATTCACACGTAAAGAAATATCTTCTCTTCTGAATCACAATAATCATTTTAACCATTTTAATAGGTGTCAACAAATGAAAATCTCGAAGATTTAGGCTTCGAAAAAAACGGTCTAGTTGCGAATCGTGATCCACGTAATTGGCGAAGAAACAGAAAAATATTATCACACATTATAATGTCCACGAAATTTCTTCACGGTCTCGTCATGAAATGTCAAGACTTATTTCTTGAAGCAGAAGGATACTGGGCACAATTAGGCCACAACACAGAACTCGATTATTCAAAATGGTCAACGCATTTCGTCACAGACATAACCATTGAACTTGCAATTGGTGAACGCGCGTATTCCCTAGCATCTTACTATAATATGCTTTGCTCTACTTTCTTCAAGAGCAATAATAAAGAGGAAATAGCAGAATTTCCCACGTCGTTAATAAATCATGCTGAAGAATTTAACAAAAATATTATGCAATGGCCTATTTCGTTGTTTTATATTGCGTCAATTCCTTCTTGGATGAGACATTACGTGCCAGTGTTTAGTCACTTTGATAGAAAATGTAAAAGGAATTTCACGTGGATGAAAAATGAAATGGAATCAATGATTGCGAAAAGACAAAAGGAAACCAACGATAACAATGAAAAGAGCTTGGCGAAAACTGATCTCTTGACTTTACTAATGACGAATTCCGTCGAGGATGATAATAAAACCGCGTCGTCGTTCATGGAAGAGACTTCACAAACTGTCATTGAAGTATGCGCAGCCGGAATAGATACGGTGTGTCTTTTATGCTTTGCTTAAAAGTTTTAAATACTTAATAATAATGAAATCTTTGAATTTCGTTAGACTGCTGCAACTTTTTGTTTCCTGATCTATTTGCTTGATAGAAATCCACATGTAAAAGAAGAACTTTTAAAAGAATTCGAAAGCGTATTAGGACAAGATATTTATCGTCCATGCACATATGCCGATTTAGGAAAAATGCAATATTGTGAAGCTGTAGTAAAGGAAACACTAAGATTGATACCACCTGTACCATTCATACCAAAATTCGCTAACGAGGATGACGAAATAAATCAATATAAAATTAAAGTAAATATATCTACTGTTTTTCTTTCAAAAAATGAATTCTTAATTCCTAAACATATGCGAAAATTTTTCTTTACAAATGAAAAAGGCCGGAACAACCATTTGGCTAAATGTGCAACAAGCACATGCATCAGATTGGACCGACCCAGCAGAATTCGATCCTTCAAGATTTCTAAAAGACTCGTTCTCGTCGGAAACTGACAAGTATTCAATGAAAAATTTTGTTCCTTTTGGTGTTGGTGTGAGAAAGTGTCCAGGGATTTTGATGGCCATTACAGAGTTGAAGACATTAACGGTGTTGCTGTATCGAAAATATGATGTTAAATTGGCTGGTCAGTCAAAAGAATTGAATGCATCATATGCTGGTATTACACAATGCCATGATTTGAAGGTTTATATTAGACAGAGAAATCAGAATTTGTCTTGGAAGAGTAGTTCAAAATCAATGAATGAATGTGTATTGATGTAAAAAATCTCGTCGGTAGTGATTTGAAAATTCAACTGAAAAATCAAAAATACCTGTTTAGCAATATGACTGGTTTTCTTTACAAAGTCTTTTTGTGGATAATTGATAGTTTATTTTGATATGATTTATAAAATATTTCATAGCTTTATTTTTGAGTTAAATTTGCTCTTGGTTACAAACCTTTTTTTAACAACACCAGTTTGTATGGTTCTCTTATTATTGTATTTCCTGTTGATATTATAATTGCTAATAGAATAATTGATGGCTTCAACCTTATACAACTTCCAATTTCCATGTTAAACAAGCAAAGAAAAATACTTAAAAAAGCTCGATCGTTTTCTTTATTTAGTCTATTAAAATTGGCAAATCTCTAGTTGGTGGTATCAATCAAACGCACATATTTTTAAAACAAACAAGTGCATCTCATTGCATAAAACAGTTTTGTTGCAGTGAATAATAATGTGAGAGTTACAAGATGTTCAAATTAAGTATATTGCTCATGAGCAGGAACCAGAAGGAAAATTGATGGCGGAAAAGGGTATGATAATTTCAGCAACTCATTGAAAATGTACCATTACATTCCCAAAGATTCCATGATTCTTTGGTTCAACATGCTTTCGCCAGCTCAAATTTGATAATTACCTCGGTAGGCAGAAGGCTATATTTTGTGTCACCGAGTCCTGGATAGATGCCTCTGGGCCTTGTGATACAACTCTTCCGTGAGTTGTATCACCAAGCTAGTAGTAAATCGTGGCTGAGAATCAGCCTCTATTTATCACAGCGCCGTTTTTTCCGCTCATGCACTTCACCACCTAGCAACTACCGCAAAAGTGTTTTTCCCGCTTAACAACTACCAAGAGAGTTAACGAAGTTTGTTTATCAAACCAAGCATGGTTGGAATAATGTATGCAGTGGTAGCGTTTTGCCAGATTTTATGACAGACCTAAATAAGAATTGAAGACACTTATATGATGGGAAAAATTTGAAGGCTAATAAAAAGAATAGAATGTTTGATGATGCTTTTACTTTAGAAGTGTGGAGGCTCATCGAGGCTATTTCACAGGTGTCTTTTTTTTACTTTATTGCTTCTATGCTGTACTTGTCCTCAACAACCGCAAAAGTGTCCGTTCAGTTCTTTTGATAATCAGAAAAAACTGCAACTGATTTCAAGGACTTTATTAGTGGCTTTGGTTTCATTATTTATTCAAGTTAGACGCAAAGATGGATGCTCAAATTGGCGAGTTAAAAGGACTAATCGGTGGTCAAGTACGTTTTGTTTTTCTTTTTCTTTTTGATCTATAAAATGTGACTTATTGAAGCCTTGTTTCCCCTTGGAAACAGAAGCTATCAACGACGTTTATAATTCTAGTTGGAACGCTATCTTGAATAAGGATGTAGTAAAGATACAATCGCTCACAGAAAGAAAAATACTAATTTCGAATTTTTAGCAGTTTAAACAATAATCCAAGACCGATGATTGCTTTTCGCGTGATACCCTATACGACAAATCCACGCTCACATGATCAAAAACGTGGCGTATGCGTGGTTCGACGTGTAATGCAATATCTAATCGGGAAGTCTACGGACAGTGCATAGGGACAGTGCAAAATCATGTGATCTTTCCGGTCCAGTGTCGGACAGTACTT